AACAAGGCCAAGAATATTATTTTTCCTTGTTGGATGGCGATGTTAATTTGTTGAAGAGAGAAGTCTGTTATAAGTTCCCTGAAGTCTGTAGATCCAGAGCCAATATCTTGAAACTGGATTACGAAGTCGGAGTTCCAATACAGAACAGGAAAATTAAAATCGCCACATATAAGAATTGATTCGTAGGTGGAACTTGACTCTAAAAACGAAGTAAATAAAGAAAGCCATTCATTGATATCGACGCTAGGCGGTCGATAGCAAACGCAAATCAATACTTTCTTGGTGTTGATAAGTTCGATTTCAACAGCAGCAATTTCTAACTCTCCTGACCAAGCCCCAGGTGAGACTAAGTTGTAATGAATATTATTTCGTAGAGCAATTAGCACACCACCACCACGCTTTCCAGAGGAGCGATCTTTCCTTATAAATGTTGTAACCAGTAGGTAGAATTTCATTATTAGAGATATTATCGTTTAGCCAAGTTTCTGTAACTGTTATTATTCTGTAACTTTCGACAAAGGCAAGGTCTTGGAAGGATTTTAAATTGCTAACAAGCGATCCATCGGTAGATTTGTTTACACTGCATAAGCTTTGAGCGTTAAATAGCAGACAGCGAAGATTGTTCCATTGCTTTTCACTGCGTGATGCACTCGAATCGTTGTTGATTGTTGTTGAATCGTTGTTGATGTACTCGAATCGTTGACCTGGATGAGGGTGAATATCACCACAGAGAGCAAGTTCCAACATAACTGGGTTGAAAGATGAACAACCTTTAGTGCAGTAACAATCTACTGTTTAAAAATCGCTTGCGAAACCACGAAGTAAGTCTTGATTGCGGTTAAAAAATCATCCATTCGTCTTTGGATGGCTTTAGAAAAAAAGTTTTATTATTTGGTATACGACTAGTGCTATCCAGAGGGGATAAGATAAAAATATAACTCAGGAGCAAGCAGAGGGACGTGTACTCCGCCATCTTGTATGATCTTGATTTGGACATGGTTGCCCTTGTTGCCATAGTTTTTATGGTCATCACCATTGTTATTCTGCTTTCTCTCACAATCTATACCGTGGTTAAATCATGGCGCCGAATACAAACAGAGGAAGCGTTCCTCGATGGAAGAGAAGCACTGGTTTGAAAACACAGATTGCATAAAGAACGAGCATGCTGCCGCCAATGACACCTTCACACCAGGTGAAACGAGCAGTGAATATGAGCAGGCTACGTCAGACTGCTGTCAAACTGCAGATTCAAATGATATTTATACTGTTTGTATAAAGCCAACCAAATTCAATCGCGCAAATTACGTGATTTTGATAACTTCGCGGCGATTTCAGGAATGTTCTACACTCAAGGAGGTTGTCACGAGGCCAAGAGAAGATTCCAGTTTTCCACTTAAAAACAGTTTATTATCTATCTTAAGCTTCTGAAAACCTCTCTAAATCTTACGATCTCGAACCATATTTATAGTGGCCGATTACATCATACCTATTTCTAAAACATTATTTTTAGCTGTGAGAACATTCTAGACGCTCATGATGACATCCTTAAAATAACTCAACAGAATGTTCCGGAGTATGGAGAAGTTTCTAGCACAGCTTGTAAAAATAGCGAGGCGGCAATTCAATGTTCTAAATTGTTTTCTTGGTTTCTGGAAACTTCGTTACAGAGGAAATGCAGTCTACGCCAGCAGTGAAAGGGCGCTTTTTATAGTTCTATCCATTATAATTTTTTTACGTATATGAGAACGATCCTTCGCAGTAAAGCACTATTTGAGCAATAGTGAAAATCAGACCTGAAAAAAATTTCAGGCCTGTACGGGATTCGAACCACTGACCTCTGCGATACTAGTGCAGCGCTCTACCAATTGAGCTAACAAGCCAACTGGGAGCAGGCCATCAAATTAATTCGATATAAACCCGTCTGATTTTCACTATTGCTCAAATAGTGCTTTACTGCGAAGGATCGTTCTCATATACGTCTCATAACCGCAGTTCACACATATGTTTCATATGTTTGTTGTTGTTTGATTTATCAYCCACGGGTTTATATCGAATTAATTTGATGCCCTGCTCCCAGTTGGCTTGTTAGCTCAATTGGTAGAGCGCTGCACTAGTATCGCAGAGGTCAGTGGTTCGAATCCCGTACAGGCCTGAAATTTTTTTCAGGTCTGATTTTCACTATTGCTCAAATAGTGCTTTACTGCGAAGGATCGTTCTCATATACGTCTCATAACCGCAGTTCACACATATGTTTCATATGTTTGTTGTTGTTTGATTTATCAACCACGGGTTTATATCGAATTAATTTGATGCCCTGCTCCCAGTTGGCTTGTTAGCTCAATTGGTAGAGCGCTGCACTAGTATCGCAGAGGTCAGTGGTTCGAATCCCGTACAGGCCTGAAATTTTTTTCAGGTCTGATTTTCACTATTGCTCAAATAGTGCTTTACTGCGAAGGATCGTTCTCATATACGTCTCATAACCGCAGTTCACACATATGTTTCATATGTTTGTTGTTGTTTGATAATTTTTTTAACCCATGCGAGTTATCAAACTAGTTCCCAGGGTCTCGCATCTTCCCGCCCCCTGGAGCCAGAGAAGAGTTAATATTATTAACTATTAACTCTGGCCAGAATAAGGAAACATAGTGGCGACCTCACACATCACATGATATGCGCCATTCAATCAGACATGTCTTATATCAGGACGATCAGAGTTTTGGCTCTTCATTTTATATGGTCTAGTGGTTCCAATCAAACCCTGCTCGCTTTGATTCGACTTAACTAGCAATGAGTTTGCATTTGATTGGTTGAGTGTGAGGGAGCGTAAGTTTCTAGACCAATCACAATGCGAAGTGTGGAATAGCCAATGCTTTCGCCAAACACAATCGCACCAACCGTGATCGTAATCTTTCTGAGCGAGGAAAATTCGTCCGAAAAAGAGCTTCATTCAGTTGAGTTAAAAAGAATTTGCACCTGATTATTGAATGTCTATCAAACACACATCAATAGGATATCATTGTCAGTCCATTCGCTGTTTTTTGTTTCTTTTTATTGTTAAGCTTTTTGTTTCTTGCTGAGAACTTCAAACATATTTTTATACAGTTTTAAGTGTTCATGAAAGAGCATTATTTCGTTAATAAAAGTCGGTGTACCTATGTTTGCGCGCAGATCGAGTATTTGCACAGATGGTGAAGTCCGTATTGTCGTAAGAACGAAACGTTCTTTTGAATAAATCTTTTAGTCCTCTTTCTTCTTTCTCATCCAACCTAGGAAGGTGTTCTGATATATTTGAATTGCGTTTCTCCTCTCAGCCAGGTATGTCTGTTTTATTTTTTGCAACTTTTGTACTTTTCAAGTTTTAGTTTAGAAATAATGGACTCGTCTTTGAGGCTTGTTGAAGGGCATGCATTTTTTGGGCGATACACTGGCATTTTTCGTTGACATAGATGCCTTCCCTTTTTGTTATGCGTTAGGATCAATGTTTAATGTGTCGCGGCATACCCCTCCATTCACCTTAGTTTCGCCTGGCTTTCCTGCGTTTGAAAACATTTGGTAAAAAAAAAATTGAACATTGAAATGCTATACGAAAGTGAGATTTTTCCTATTTTTAGTTTGCTCCATTAGTTTAGCGGATGAAAACTCAATTTTGGTAGTTGTTCGTAAACGATAACCAAGGAAGAAGGAAAATTTATTATCATTTCGTTCCGAAAATTACCGCAATCAATATTTAAACTGTATAAAAGTAATTTAAACTTCTATGACTGAACAAAAACCAGCAGCAAGAAGATGATTCTCCTGCCAACAGTTAGGAGGCAACACCATATATTGTGCGTAGTGAGCACAGGCTTTGAATTTTTCTATTAAAAAACATAAGGTTTTGATTAAAGACGACCCAATTCTCCCGCAACTCAAACCAAAAGGTTATTGCTGATAATGGCAGCAACTGGGGAAAAGTAAATTGGACAAAATTAAGAGCGTATGCAGGTGAAAATGAACGGCAGTCAAACGAGGGATGTTTCAACGCTACGCAAGTCATTGATATTTAAAAAAAGATAGAAATTGACGTTCTCTTGAAATTGGAGGAAATTACAGATTACGGCTGCTAGCACTCAGTCTTAGGAAATATTGCGAAACATTTGTTATGATCACGTTAACAAACCGAAAAGTCGATAAAGGACGTTTATGATTTGCGTCTTAGGCAAATACCACCGTGGTTTTATCCTAGCAAATTGCTTTTAATTTTGACACTTTAACTTGTGTATAAAGCCTCTTGATACTATGTTAACGCAAAAAAAAAAATAAAATAAAATAAAAAAAAGTAAAAGGAAAATCTCCAAACTTGGAGAGAGAATTTCATTTAATTTCGTTAGACATCCGGTGTTCTTTTGTCTACCCTTGGCATTCCCTGCACTCTTTTTTACATGTTTATGTTAATTTTCTGTCATGTGACGCAAATAGAGGCAAACCTTAAAATAAATAGTGATTTTAAGAATGACTTTTTTGGCAGAGGCAAACGGTAAAAGTCAATTATGATTCTACTCAATTTCCCTATGATCCAAAAAAAACCATAAAGATAAATGGCAAAAATATCTCTTGTTTACAGTCAATGCGTATGTTTTCATTCGAGCACACAAACGGCTTAAAAGAAAACGGTATGAAGTTCAATTTTTGCTGTTTGATGCAAACGCCATGAATAGAGTGTTTTTTTATTTATGTCCCTGTGCCAGTTGGACAGTGGACGACTTCATTGCATGTGACTGACATACAGCGCAAGACATTTTGCGTTCATGACCTAAATTGTTATTTATCAGTACATTTAACAAGGGATTGAAGAGCATGTCGTTATTACACGCTGCCACTGACACTTTTTAATTGGCAATTTAAAATTTTTACCAACTAATTGTGAAATAATTTCCCGTATTCTGAGATATTCTATTGTTGCCAGTTTTTGCAATGTTTATTCCTGGACGGGAATCGCACATTTGATATGCGATTTGTGCACTGATAAAAGCGGAGAAATTAAACATTCTTCGTGGACAAGCAATCAAACCCCAGCAACATGCCAGAACTGTATTATTCCGAATGATATATGTTGCCTCTCTAAATCAAGTTAACCGCATTGGCCTAAATTACACTCGCCTTAAACAAACAGTTTAGCTGTCATAAGCAATTTCCTTTGCATGAGATTTGATAAGCTGTTTTCATTAGCCTCTATTTTGCTCTCTCTTGTTCCTTACATATCCCAAGCGCGAACTCATGTGAGCTCGACATCTGTAGAGGCAACAAACACAATCGATCAACATCTCTGAGTTATATACGTTGGCTTGACAGGCAGATAGCACAATTCACGCTACATCGCCAATGGGAAGGTTTAAATTTTTCGCGTCCATACTTCTCTGTGCTGTTCTGACGTCCAGCAGTCCTGTTGGCCATCAGAGTTCATGTAGGTTCATTTTGATATTTCATGATTTTTAATATCATTGTAGAGCATAACTATCCCCAACGGCGCAGGAAAGTTTTGAAAACGCGATTTATGTATGGTTCTTCGTGCTAAAAGGGAGAGAATCCCTTGCAGAGTTTTTTCAGCTCAAAATCAAAACGCCGAGGGGGGTCAAGAAGCAGCCTTTCAAGGAACTTACAGTCGAATGAATTTTCATTCAAATTTTCCGGAGCAAAACGGAAAAGGAATTTTTTTAAATTTTACAGAGAAATATATCCTCTTGCCCTGGAAATATGTTTGTTTCCACTGTGATAGATCATCTATATCATATATTTTCAGAATTTTCTCTTACATGTGTCAAATTTAGATTTGTTTACAAATAGTACTGCTGAGAGTATCTACGAGGAATTTGAGAAGCTGAGAAAGTTTTTCCAAGATATCGATCTTTATGTTATAGACAATTTTCCTTGTCAAACCAACCCGCGGAAAAAAGGGTTTTAACTGAACACAAACAAGTTCAAAGCATTAATTGATAAATCCTAGCTTTCATATTTATTTCCAAAGAGCAAACATGATAAAAGGGGTGATTCTGTCTTTGGTGAGAGCTTAATTGCTAGTTACCTTGGGAAACGGTTTAATTGCCAAACATTAATTTTTACAGATTTGATAGTTGAAAAATATAAATACTTTTTAACCCACTTTTTCAGCATATCAAAGAACTATTCTGGGTCATGACGATAAAGACCAACTTTTTGGTGACGACACGATTTTGGATCACATCGTCAAAGTTAATAAAGGTACTCCTCTTAACATCGTAAAATGTTATACGTGCCTTAAAATTTTTTCCTATTCTGCCTCTACGTAAACAGGAGGTTTCTTATTTTCACTTGTTAAACAACTGCTGTCTAGGTGACAATTCAATGTAAATAAAAGTAAAAAAAAAAAATCTGCGAAGATCGACTTGAAGGTCGAAAATCACGCATTATTATTTCAGAATGTCAGTTAATTGTTGTATCATTAATATCTTGTGGACGTTTTGCAGGAAACCGCAATCTTAATTTCTTTTTGTATCAGATAGAGGCCTGAATTAGTAGAGCTTGTTTCTTGCTATTTTTCCTTGCTCTTAAATTTTCTTTCTTTCCTTGAGATTTATTCCCTCGCAAAAAGGCAACAAGATTTCATTTCAAGCCCGTGTATGATGGTCTTCTTTATGAATTTCAACTGTTTAACTTTCACGTGACTTTTGGCTTCTAACTCCAATGAGTGACCAAAAGAGATTTCCTCCTTACAACATTAATACAACTATGCAAATATCAAACAGAAAAGTGAAGAGAATAAAGAAAAATTTCAATTAGAGGATTCAATAACAAATTCTCCGCACTCACATCATAAAAATTGTACGGTAAGGAGAAGTACTAATGAGATCTTGGGAATAAAAAAGTTGACCACCTCATCAGTTTTCAGTCGTAACCGGCGTTAATTAGAAAATTATCGTTTGTATCACCTTGTTGTTGTTTATATTGTTGGTTGTGTCGCCCAGGGAATGACGTAAACAAGTACGAGGCAGATATCGTCTTATCTCCTGACGATAACGTTGATCTCAGTAATGATGGTGATGTGGACGGATCAGGGATAGGTCTGAGGAAGAAGCGCAATGCTGCACGTGACCGAAAAAAGCTCTGGGTTACTCGTGTTATCCCTTATAAGTACGACAGCGGCCTTCCTGGTAAGAACTAACAAGCTATATAAAGCTAGCAAAAACTGTTGATAGAGAGAATTCAAATTTAGAAAAATAATAATTACACCAGATTTGTTAATGGAATTTTATGGTAAATGATGTCGATAATGATCTTAAAGTAGCTGCAGAAATCCAAACCCAAACGAAACGATGAAATTATCAGTTAGTTTCACAGTTCCGAAGGAGTTCCGGTGCTGAGGCCAACAACAAAATAATTTGATCTCGCAGTTCCTTTGTATATTTACTACATTAACATGCTTGTGACCATTCATCGAGTGTTATTTGTGCTGGCTCAGGCCTACTTCCAAAGAGATCAATTTACTCCCCACCAGTCCCTTAAACAGGGTGAGATACAAATCGGCTGCGGAATCGGAAGGGCATCAGTTTTTTATGTAGGTGTCGAAATTAAAGTTAGTTTTCTAGGGTAATCTTGGTCAACTTCACTGCGTAGTTGGTCAAGAGACCCCACGCCACGCTTTTCACCAGTGAAATGCGTCACTAAAACCAATCGCGAGCGAGGATCTCTCGCATTTCCCCGCGCTTCAGGTCATTCACAAGCATTTCCATACCTTCTTTCATTCTTGTGAAAATTTTCCATGTTTTGTTTTGCCGCTGTGATTACTTTGGTATGTGGGTTTTCCGGCATTCTGTTGAGAAGTGCTCTGATGCCTTACTCGGTCGCAAGCCACCGCACAGGATAACTCATAAAAGTTTATAATGGCGTTAGAGCTGGCGCATTGTTCGCCAGATACACATTGCAGATTGATAATTTATGGAGGGCCTTTCGGGGCCTTTGGAGCTAAAAGATTCCATGAATATCTGAGGAAAGTGAATTTTCGGGCTGCTTGTAAGGAGATACAGTTACTTTATCATTTTGATTGGAGACAGCTTATTTCATAAGTATAAACATTGATTGTCTTTTTTATTTTCCCCAAAACTTTAGACAGCTTCAAGTCAACAATTCAGGAAGCCATGGCCGAATTTGAGAATAAAACGTGTCTGAAATTTGTGCAGAGAAGTAGCGAGGCCTTGTTTATTAACATCATCCATAAGCCGGGGTAAGCAAAAGTATTTTTAAAATCAAATTTTGCTCAAATTCTTATCGAAGTTCACTTTACTAAGGCCTTGTGCTTGACCTTACATAACTCATATTCTCCTCAGCTACTGCTCTTTCTCTTAAAACTTGCGCAACCCCAACCTCGTTCCCAGGGCCTTTTCCCTTTGGAGGTGGACCCCCAGCCAAGGAAAAAGGCTCTGGGAACGAGGTTAGCGCAACCCCTTCAACCAATCAGATACAGAACTAAAACCAATAACCACTTGGTCGCCGGCGTTTTCCCGCGTTTTAGACAGTTTGGTCTTAGAGTTCTCATTAGCTCTTAAAGGTATTTCCTTTCTTCTGATTGGTTGTTGTGATAACTTTGATTATGAATCGGAAAGCGTTCTACTGGCTTTAAGCAATCGCAACTCGGTGAAGACGCTTTTTTCCGCGTTTTAGACCGTGTATTTATCACTCTGAGTTCTCATTGGTTCACTTTCAAATCTAACTTTGTTCAAAATGGCCCCAGTGATTACTGTAGCTTTTGTTTTACGAAACTTCTAAGAAACGTGCACAAATTGTTTTTGTAAGGTGCTGGTCATCAGTTGGCCGTCAATATTGGATGTCAGGAGTTGGACAAAGACTGTCTCTTGGCTCTGGATGCAACCATAAAGGGACCATCATGCATGAATTGATGCATGCTGCTGGTTTCTGGCACGAGCAATCGCGACCAGACAGAAATCTTTACGTGGAGGTACTCTGGGAGAACATAGAGCCTGGTAACTATCTTAACGTATTTAAACATTGATTCCCCTGTTCATTAATTTGTTTTCATGGATGATGGGGACCAAGAATTCCCTTTTTTTTAGTGTCTATTCTTATTACAGCCAACACTGTTGTAGAAATAGCAACTTAATGGCAGCTATGCAGTCGAGGTTCTTGAATTTTGAATTCATTGACACTCCCTCTTCATTCAGGAGGCTTTAAGGTTAGCACCCTGGCCATGGACTCCGCAAAAAACAGATCCGGGTTCGTGTCGTGGCCGGGTTACTTTAATGTGTTGGGTACCAACCTCGTTCCCAGGGTCTCTCATCTTCTCACCTCTTGTAGCGAGAGATAGGCGGGAAGATGAGAGACCCTGGGAACAAGGTTGACTGTCCCTCACTTTGTAAAGAAAAAAAGAAGAGTGAGTACCAGACTCGTGACAGTCAGAGAAAGTCAACGTAATGCTACCGAGGGCAGGAGAGTAACTTTACAATGGACTAACATTCCATCCACAACACTGGTAGCTATACACTTACTCACTATCTCCTTCCTTTAAGATGACGCCTACAACTTTAACAAGTACAGCCATCGCGATATCGACCGGCTAAAGGTCCCGTATGATTTTGACTCTATCATGCATTACGGGCGTAAAAGCTTCTCTAAAAATGGCAAAGAAACCATCCGATCCATCCTGGATCCTAACAGGCCTTTGGGACAGAGGAATGGATTTACTGAGTTTGATGTTCACGAAATAAATTCCCTTTACGATTGTGCAGGTAAGGGGAGAATTTTTTTTTTAGCACATAAATGGCTACACTATTATCGAGATAGACGTGTACTTAACGTCTTTGTGGCTCTTACTAATCAAGGCTGAGCTCCGAGAAAAATTGAAGGGAGCCCAGTGTTCTGAAACTGTGTAATCCAGGGTGCCAGCATGTGCTTTTTATAAAAAACTAAGATTCTTGAGTCGTCTAAGAGCAAAAGTAAGGTGCCAGGGCCACCGGGCGCTGCTAGACCACAGCCCTTCTAATTGCAAACCATATAACAAAGTCTATTCAAGTGAAATTTATTTATTACCACAATTGCCAGTAATGTCGTAATCTAATTGCTAATTCTCCACTGTCGATAAGAGTACAGACAACGTTGCTCGCGTCAACGTGTTATGCTACGTATCACACGCTGAAGGAATCATTTTAATTTGATGTCGATATTGCGGTAAACAACAAATCGACAGCGGTCTAGCGTTGTCTGTACGTACCCTTATCGACAACGATATCCGTCATTATGACAATAGTCAAGATTTGCTGCGAACTCACTCGGCTGCACCTCATGAGCCCTCAACATTTTCACCACTGTAATGACAAATATCCTTGTCGATAAGAGTACAGGCCACCCTAGATCACAGTCAAGTTATTAAAGCTAAACAATCTTTCAAGTTTATTTGAGACTCTATGTATATTTTCGCCCTCTGGAACTGTTAAGCAGCGAGACAATCCTTATTCCTGCGGGCTCGGGACTCTCTAACTTCTGAACGGAAACGAAATGGAGATTTCGGTCTTGCGATCTCTCGCAACCATTAAAGAGCTATGAGTTGTCTAATATGTCAGGGACAGAGACAGTATAAATGAGAGGTTGGGTACACCAAAGAAAAGCGAGCAATACCAGAACAAACTTTCTAACAAACCCCTCAGTACCACAAGAGAACCGTGAGAAATTAAACCAATATTTTACAGTCCTTTTTTTCTTATTTGTATGTCTTCGTTCATTAGCAAGTGGCAGCTGGAGTACCTGGTCAGAATTCGGTCCATGCAGCACCAAATGCAAGAAGACCCGTCAACGTTTCTGCAGCTCTAGTGACGTGGCTAAGGACTGCCCAGGAGCAGACCAGTATGGAGTTCAACAAGAACAAGTCAAGTGCACTGACAAGGAGTGTTTCGGTTTGTCATAATCAAACCTGCTTTCCAATTTTATGGCTGTAATATTTTATGTAATCATTTAATCATCTGACGACTAGGTGGTGTACCTTTTTAAATGGGTAAAATAAGATCCTATAATTAAATCATAATCAATCTCCCCGTTCCTGTGTAGGCTACCAGTAGCCACATGAACCCACCAGTGTCCTATTTTCTGTGTCGTTATTTTGAGAAAACCAAGGTTTCATTATTCCACCACGAAAGGTGAAAACCAACGCATAAAAGTTCTAACTCGGCAGCTGCAGTTTTTTGCCGCACATTGAACCTTTCTGCTTCCAGTGGAAAGCATGGGCGAAGCGGAAACAATTCTTCAACAAGGGGCCTCCATCAGCATGCGCATCGTCTTATTACTTTCCTTTGGCTGTGAATAATTATTTATTCTTAATACCATACAACGATAATATTCATTCACCTTTAACCTGGAGGCATCATTACGAAGCTAAAAAAATTGACATCAAAGCTGGTTTACAATTTTTTCCAATCGCACAGCACCCATCGACGGTCACTGGGGCCGCTGGTCATCATGGGGTTTGTGCAGTACTGAATGTGGGTTTGGAACACAAACCAGAACAAGATCCTGTGACGATCCACCACCACGATATGGTGGCAAACAATGCGCCGGTAGCTCGAAAGATTCACAAGCTTGCAAACAGAAGTCATGCGGAATCGGTAAGTAGATCAATGTTCGGAAAAGTTGAGAGAACCCCGCTCTAGCTTGTATACGCCCAAAGCTTTCCGCTTGTTGAAAAGCCGACAGTTTGCCTTCCCACCAAGGGTCACGTGCGTCAGGGTCGTAACTTTGACCCCAACTGAGGACTCCAAGGCTACCCTAACAGTGTCCTACTAACAAAAGTAAAAATTTAATCCATCCGTTGTAAGTTTACCACAAACTTCAGCGTTGATAGCCAGACTTGTTATGGTATTTTTATGGCATAACAAAATTGTTTCATTACAAAGGTGTATCGCTATCCAACTAGGCCTAATTAACTTGTAAAGGTGAGTCGCTCTCTCCAGGCTCTCTCGGTCGTATAGCCTTTTCTGTATAAAACCTTTTCTGTATAAAACCTTTTCATGTAGGCCTCACGTTGTATCATTCTTCAGGGCCTTATGACTGTGAATTTGACTTTGATGGGATATGCCATTGGAAGATAGATGACAGTAATCCCTCAGGTTTTACCTGGGAGCGAAACTCAGGAAGAACGCCTTCCTCCAGTACCGGGCCATCCACAGATCATACATCTGGACCAGGTGACAATGAAGATTTATAATAAATTTATATTCATTCGTCCTTCACGAAGGTTCACAACACTGACCAAACTTCCAGAGTGACAATCCATCACATGTAGCTTCAACAAGACAGCACTGTAAAAATTTTACTACTTTTTCCGGGAGTACTATCTACTTTTGAGTCTAAAAGGAACGGGAGCCGGATTAAACCTTTAAAAGGGACCTGGGGTCCTCCAGTTTTTAACTACTGTGTAAGGAGAACAAAAGGTTGTGGTCTAAATGATAACTGAATGCAAAAATTCTCAGAGACTAGGAAGTTCAATTGGTGTCACAACTTTTATAAAAAGGATCGATATTGCAATGATCATTTGCTTCCCACAAACTGCTCAGACCTTTCCCATACCTTTTCAATACCATGTCACAGGAGCTAAGAACCAAGCGAAGATAGCTAATCTAATATTGCCACACATAACCTAAGCTTTCTGTTTAGGCCACTATCTATACGCTGAAACCAGTGGTATTGCCCGAGGAGACAAAGCACAGCTTGTCAGCCGTACCTTCCCTGCAACTACCGGTCGTTGCATGACGTTTTGGTATCACATGTACGGCTCAGGGATGGGAGAGTTAAATGTGTATGTTAATATCACCGGTACCAAATTGAAGGTCTGGTCCATGTCTGGTGACCAAGGAGACGAATGGAAAATGGCTAGAGTTACTCTTGTTAGCAAGAGCTTCCAATACCAAGTAAACACAACTTAGGTCGTTGTTGAGTCTCCTTAGCTGATTCTGCAATAAAGGGTTGCTTTACACCAAGCCTAATCCACAACATTGGGTCCTTTCGAAGTTTTTTGCAAGGGTGCTATATACATCTTATTAGACGTTTTGTTGTGTAGTATCGCTGAGTATTTTTACGAGTTGTGCTGTGCCCTACGGGCTCGTCAAAATAGAAAGAACGAGTAAAAATACTCAGCGATACTACACAACAAAACGTCTAATAAGTTATTTATTATCCAACACGCCAAACTGTTATTTCAATGCGGGCGAATTTCGCGGATATCTATTTACGGGGAGTGCGTGACAGAAGTATGCGAAGCGGAACGGAATTGGCGCGTTGTTGTGTTGCTGTTTCTACTTTCTTCATTAACTGAAGAAATTTTCTGGTCGTCAAGCTGTTTTTCTTCGTTCGATTCTTCAAATGAACTTGGATCTATATTTGCCAGCCATTCTGACTCTTCTTCGTCGGAAATATGATTCAAATTGTCCGCCACTTATTTTTTTTCCTAACTACAATCCAATTCTTCGCTTGCGCGATGCGAGAAAACCTGTTTAACCGGTACTACAATAGACGAGTACAAATACCGCGTGATATTTGTACTCGTCTATGCCGTTATTTGTACTCGTCTAGGGGTAGTTGGATAATAATGTCCTCTACTCGACACAATTGTCTATGTTAATCTAGATCTGCTCTTTTTACGACCAAATTCTGATATGCTCTCAAGAACTTATCCTTCATTGAAATTAAGACCTTATTGCTGGTGCATGAAACCAAGCGCCTTCCTATGAGACAAACAACTTTCTTTTTTCGTGGGTGAAATGGAATGCCTGAGAGTCTCCTCAATCCAGATCTTACCATGCGCCATCCCAATGCACCCCTCTCCCCACACGAACTTATACATTGCCACTGAACGATATATAATGTTATGGAATGATCAAAGCGAGAGCGATGTCAACTGCTATTTAAACCGTGTTTCTTCAGCTTAATTTGGTAATATCAACTAAGTTTAAATTGTAAATTAGCCACCGTGAAGAGTTAAAAAGTTGACGTTTCGAGCATTAGCCCTTCGTCAGGGCGAATGACGAAGGGCTAACGCTCGAAACGTCAGCTTTTTAACTCCTTACGGGGGCCAATTTACAATTTCAACTTAGTTGATATTACCCAAATTACCTCTTACCCCACCGACGCAGCATCACAGATTCTATAGAAACTTACCCCCTTTATTCATTTTTTTTCACCTTAACTGACTATATGACATATAGACTTTTGTTCTTTGCAGGTGATATTCGAGGCAGTTCGTGGATCAAGTTTCCGAAGTGATATTGCGCTGGATGATATAAGCTTTAAAGGGTATCCATGCCGTAAGTCACTTCTTTTAAAACATGTGCTAGTCGCTATAAGCCAGAGAACTAAACTGCGTTTCGAGCGTGGATGTCGAACTACTAAGATACTCCGAAAAAACAATAACGAGAACTATTACACGACTCAGGAAGTCAGAGGGCCAATAACTAAAATCAACCAATCAAAATGCTCTATTGCCGGTCAATATTCTCTCACTATTGGACCGGGCACTGTCCCGAATGGTCCCGAATGATAGCGCACTTGTGTCCCTTTCAACTTCAGTCGTGTAATAAATCTCTTATTAACCAAGCTTGCTCGGGACCGTACTGGAAGAATATCGGCCCTCGGTCTTTTTTGTACGGACCTCGCTGCGCTCGGTCCGTCCTATCAAGACCTCGGGTCGATATTCTCCCAGTATGGCCCTCGCGCTCGGTTAATAAGATATATATAACTACCAATAACAATTGATTCAAGATCGGAATTCGATTGTTACACTCACTCAGCTCGACAACATGTGGCTTCGCTTCCTTTAGGAGGCAGTGGCTTCCAAAACAGACACAGCTATCGTCAGTTATCGCGTAATCTCTCTGACAGAACGGAAAAGCCGGGGGAGGGGGGGGGAGGAATAGCATTAGAAGGTACGAACGGAAAACAAGCATCAGCTCAGAAAGGGTAATCACTTCCACCCTAACATAAACGCATATTCTTCATACTGCTCCGCAACCTCGTTCCCAGGCTCTTTCATCTTCCCGCCCCCCTAACCTCGCTCGCTCCAGGGGGCGGGAAGATGAGAAACCCTGGGAACGAGGTTGACTGCTCTCCATATCCTAAGGTGCCGACAAGGATAATGATTTAACAATCAAGAGTTTCTTTAGTTGGTGATCAATTCCTCTATCCTCACGTGATTCAGGGGTGATTTCGTCAGGAGAAATTAGATGCTAATCACTCTTAGGGGCCGAAGGAGTAGATGTTCTACTTACATAGATATAAGCTTATATCTTATACCTTACATAGATATAAGCTTATATCTTATATCTTACATAGATATAAGCTTATATCTTATTACTTACATTGATATAAGCCTCAATGGAGAGTCAATTAAGCATACGGACACTTTTAAGTACTTGGGTGTCGTTCTTGATGGCACCCTTTCCTTTAATGACCACGTGGATTATGTGAGGATCAAGGTATCTGAGATACTCGGTATGTTCTCTCGAATAAGACCTTCACTGACGCTAGAAGCTGCAAATAGACTTTATAAAGCCATGGTCCTCCCGGTTCTAGATTATTGTGATACTGTGTGGCATGAATGTGGGCAAGGAAACAGTGACAATTAAGATTGAACGACTACAGCGACGAGCAACGAGGATCGTCTACTCCAAAGATGCCTCAAAACTAACAACTGATCAAGCTATGACTAAACTGGGCTGGGAACCCCTCTATTAAAGAAGACGAACACACATTTTAGATTTGTTAATGAGTGCATTGCAAATAGAGTTCTCAGATATCTTTTTAATTATTCTAATGTAAGAATTCGCGACATTCACCGCTACAATACTAGAAATAATGATGGTCTTATTTTAGAAAAAGTTAAATTAGAATGCACCAAGCGCGCTTTTTTTTTAAAAAGGTGCAAAAATCTTTAATGATTTTAAATAAATTTTCATAATTCGAAGAATTTATTATTGTCCGAATTTACTCTCGTTTATTGTAACTATTTTATAATTTACTCTAAATTGATATCTATTTATTTTTTTTTAAGGACCTGCATTGATAGCAGTTTTCTTTCCTAAACTGAAGCAGCAATCCTGTATAAATATGTTTAAATTATTATTATTATTATTATTATTATTATTACACACTTAAACAGTTTTTCGATAACGGTTACTGCTTGTTCAGGTCAGTTATGTTAGCTCATTAACTATAATAAATAAAACTTAGCAGCTGTCAGTACGGTCCCACGTACATCTGGACGTGGAGAACTTAAAGCTTACGCGAGGATTTCTTTGTATCCTTTAGTGGAAGCCGTCGGTTGTTACTTGGACAAGGTCTCTGCGCGTGCGTTACCCTCACTAGTTAAAAACTTTCGAGGACATATAGACTGGTACCACATAGATAAAACCATCGCCGACTGCGCCAAGGAAGTGCAGAATCAAGGTTTTGAGGTAAGTTCGCGTAAAACCATTGAGGTTAACTATTCTAATACAAAGGAGAATATTGAGCACATTTCGCATCTACACGGAAAAGTTGTTCATCAAATCTTCATGGTACGTAGCAGCACTGTACTAGTTGTAGGTGACCACCAACCTTTTGTATCAAGATGTTAAGAGAAAGTGAAGTTGGGTTGATTATTTTCAGGAGTTGACCTCTTGCTACTGACACGTATATCCTGTTATTCAACTGAGTGTTAGAATAAAGGCTTTCAAACCATGACCTCAAGATTTTAACCCCCTAACTACACTGATGATACCCAATTCCGTTCACTCTC